GGCCAGTCAGAGGATGGGGAATTGGGTGGCATTCATGGCCCCCAAACCATGGGGGAAGCCCATGGGATGGAAGCCAGCAGCCACCTCCTGTGGGTTGATGAGGACGATGAAGTGGTTGGTTAGGACATCCTGGATGACCAGGCGTACCGCCAGGATGGCCTTTCCAGATGTGCCCCTGGCCATGGCAAATTGATTAGTGATGTAGTAGTAACTGCCAGGGGTGGCCAGCTTCATGATGGTGATGGGCAGCACTTCTCCAGACTGAGGGGTGGTCACATGCTAACGTCCTGGTATGCGATATAGGGTGCCACCTGGGTGATGACATCTATGAAGGCAGCCCAGTGTGTGTGGAAGGTCTAGAGCCACCGTTCACCATCTCAGGTAGCCAGCACAGTCTGCTCCCACCCATCTGTGCTGGTGGCACGGGTCCAAAACCTGTGCTTGACAGTCTGGACATGGTGCCAGAGCATCTGATTGTCCATGGTGTCCTGGATAGCCTTGTCCTTGGCCATGTGAAAGTTTGTGGCCTAGTCCACATAGATTTAATAGATCTCATAGACATTAGGACTGGAAGGGACCTTGGAAGATCGAGTCCAGCTCCCTGCCCCAGGGGCAGGTAGTCATCTAGGGTCAAAGGATCCCAGAAAGATAGGGGTCCAAATGTTTCTGAAAAGAGTTCAGAGTAGGTCCTTGCACCACCTCTGGAGGGAACCTATTCCAGGCCTCAGGGGCTTGGACAGTAAAGAAGTGTTTCCTAAAACAGTCTTGGAGGAGTTTGTGACTGTTTGACCTTGTCATCACTTGGGGTGCCCTGGTGAACAGGCATTCCCTCAGATCCTGATACACACCCCTTATATACTTATAGGCTGCCACCAGGTCACCCCTGAGCCTGTTCATCTTGTGGTTAATCATGACCCTCAAGACTCTTTCAGCTGTGGTGCTAGCAAGCATAGCACTGTCAAGCCTATAAGCGTGATGCAGGGATTTTTTCCTGAGGTGGAGTACCTTGCATTTTTCCATATTGAATGTCATCAGATTTTTATCTGCCCACTTTCTAAGCCTATCAAGGTCAGCCTGGATCACCAGCCTATCCTCAGGTGTGGTTGCTTTGCCCCAAAGTTTGGTGT